AAAGCTCTCAGTGCTCCAAGTGAGATCTCCCACTGGGCATGTTGGTTGAACAGTTCTGATGACTAATAAATGTAATATTTTATTGTTACCAGAAAGTTCCTAATTGTGGCTGTCATCACTGAAAATAAACACATTCAGGACCTCCTGAACATTATGACAAAGTGTTCTGTCCAAACATGGGAAATATTTCTTTTTTAGTAGTTTGCTGCCAAATGTAGCAACATGTCAAACCATCCTTCACTCTATTTCTCTGAGTCTTCTGCTTCATAAAAAAATTTGCCAAATAGGTTATTCCCCAATAATATAAAGCTTTCAGATATTTCCACATTTGAAGTCTCACCTCTTTCTTGAGGGTACATCAGAATATCCCAAGGACTTCAGCAATTTTATTAACGAGGTTTTAATATGCAGGCATATTATTGGCCAAGAGCTTTTTGGGAGTAAATAAGCAATTTTGGGTTTACACTCAAACATGTATTTTCTTTGAATCAGTTTGTTTCCATGAAGTTATATTTGCTCCTTAAATTTTTCTTTTATATATATATATACTTACCCATTGAGTAGAACACATTATATAAGAAATCCCACTAATTTGAATTTCACCCTTTGTTATACAACTTATTTGTGGGAACTACACTTCAAATGTCACTAGGGTGAGACTCTACTTTGGATATGAGAATTCATTGACTCCAAAGCAAAAAGAAGCACCTAGAGTAGTAAACATAACCTCTGTGTCTAGAAAATAAATACAGGTTCAAGTTGGATGCCAAATAGAGGACTAGTGCCCAGTTTTGGATTAAATTTTCTCACTGTTTCCTTTTAGCTCTGGTCTACCTTGAAAGAGGAAAGATTTACCAGAAAGCCATTCTTTACACAGCCATGTTAGTAATGCTCATAGAAGCAGAATAGCAGATTCCAAATCTGATGACCTGCTTTTATTTGTAAGAATTAACCAAAGTTCATCATGCATCTCCTAGTTGCAGTTAACATCTGAATATTATGTGGACTTTAAGGTCACATGTTATATTGCAAAATGCCCAGTGAAACATAATCATAAATAAAATGGAACTTTTCACTCAGCTTCACAGCAAGAGTAGCAGGTAAGGAATTTTCCCATCTTCAACAAACCATATAAAATCCAAGGCAAAATCCAGCCACTCCACACACATGAGCATATTTCATTGCAGAAAACAGGACATAAGTCCTGCTGGTAAAGACAGTAGAAAGGGGCAGGCTCTCAGTGAAACCACAGCACTCAATGACAGACACCAGTCTTTCCAAAAGCCACTTTCTTCTATATAATGACTGGCCCCCTCAAAACCCAGATTCCTTACATGTTTAAAAATAAGTGAGCATTTGCATTGTTACTGCTGCAAAATAAGGAATTCAATAAAGGTCACAGAGAATGGCATAGACACTTAATTTATCAAAACCATCATAAGAATAAACTTTAAAGTAGACTATCAAATGGTTGTAGATATCCCAGAAAAAATGTTCTTAATTTCTTTCTTTAATGACTGAATCCAGATTGTAATTTTATGCTTGTTCTGTTGCAACTGGTGGCAGAACAGGCACTTTAAAGGGAAAGGAAACTTCTTTTATTTTTGGTTTAAGTGTAGCGGTGCCATCAACATTTGCAAAGAAAAAAAAATATATCTAAGTTTGAATACTGACTGACCGGAATGATTGTGGTTCACTTTCAACTCAAACTTGGATGTCTGAGTTAGCTTTTTTATACTATACTATCATTAAGCATTAATTTTAAATTTTTATGTATTCTGCTTAGGTAACAACCAGGAAAAAAAGAAAGATTGGATCGTGTAAAACTCACTTATTACTGTAATAACAATTATTAATACCATTTGGAGTGCAGGATAAGTATATGAAACACTCATCTATACAGTTATCTGGAATGTACGCTATGTCCCATTGATACTGTAAGTTCAGCAAGCCAAAAGCAAGCTCCTAAGCAAGACATGATGATAACATTTCATGTAACTCCTCTTTGGCAATACTTAGACACTGCAACTGAATACCAAACAGGGTCACATGTGCCAGTCAGTTACTGCAAGAAAGAATACGTGATGAACTGTTTGTTTTGAACTAACAGTATAAACACATTGCAGAAATGAAACCCAAGCTTAAACAATGGGGAAAGTTATCCGGTATTAAAATAAACAGTTCTAGGAAAATCTCTAAAAATGTTTACCAAGTCATCTTCTTCCGCGTAGTTTCTGCACAGAGCATTTTGCCATGTCCCTGGTTTCTCAATCAACCCCAGTTACACTGACTATAGATATGCAAATACTAATGGACAAGGCTGAGCTTTAATTGCCTATAATTGGCACCCCAAGCAAGGGCATTTTTATCTACAGTCAAGCTTGTAGGTCATCAAAGAAGCAATTTCGCTTTAAGCATAAAAAAATTATTGCCTTTTTTACAAAAAAATATTTGTTTTCCTTCTAGGAATCTGAGAGTTTAGATATAGAGGGGAAAAAAAATTAAATTAAAATACTAGAGATTTAAGCAAACCATGATTCTTACAAACTTTCGTAATAAATATTTTTCTAAGATCACAAGATAACAATTCAAAAATAATTTACTTTGCCAAACATTGTCTACATACAGTTTTATTGAAAGTTATTGAAATTTTATTGAAATTTACTACCTGAAGTAATAAACATATTTCCTTTGTGTAAGTTAGACTATATCTCAAATTCTTAAACTTTATTTCTGATTATAACTATTTGAGTCCTAGACCTATAACCCTTAAATATTCTTTACTTCATTCACAGCAGGTGCATTGTAAAATGCTGTTTAGTGTAGCTAATTTAGGGGGAAAAATAAATGCAGAGTATGAAAATGAGATGCGAGATATCTACATAATATATTCATTACACTTAGGCATTATGCATGTTTTGAAAGGAAATGAGTTATGGCTGAGATGCTTTGTAATGGCAACAGCAACAAAGCAAATTCAGTATTCAGAGATGCTATAAAGGATCTGCATCAGCCTCATTTGTTCAGAGTGAGCCATACTCCATCACACAGAGAAACAGGTCCTTTCATTCCAAGGAAAACTGACACATTGGGATATGTGCACAAGCCCAATTTTATGCAAACCCCTGGGAGCAGAGGGTTGGGGGCTGGGAGGGAAAGAAGGAGGGGGATAGTTCTTCCTGTAGCCAGTTTTACAATCATTGCAGGAGAAAACAGTCCTCAAATATAAACCCCTTTCACTGGGCTTCCTACCTGTTTAAACACTTCCCTCCAAAGTGTGAAAGGACTAACCCTCAGACATTCACACTCCAGAGACTCATATTTCCTCATGTTCAGTTCACAGTGAAACAGTGATCTTAGTTCAGTCTCTAGTGGACAAACACAGAATAAGTAAAATCTTAGAACCATGATTCAGCAGGCAATTTGCTCAAGTAAAATCATGTGTGCATAAACACAGAAAACATCTTTCTTCTCTTTAGTGCTTGTCTCAGCCTCTCAAAGCACAGTAAAATAATTTCTTAAGAAATGTTTTCTTCTACAAATGACATCCCCTCATTTCCAGCCTTATACTCCCCAAAGCAGACCAAAATATTAAAAAAAGAAGGAAGTAGTCTAAAAATTAAATGCTTGGTTATATTTTCTTTTATAGTCATATGCTTACTGCACAAAATCTTCTCTCTCTTGCTAAATCCAGATATTCAAGAGCACAATTAATTTACCAAGTAATCAAGAAATCCTCTGTAAAGATTTTAGTAGAGTTAGAGAAATTGGGGTGACTGTATGTGCTTTTTAACATATTTCTGTCTTGTACACTGTCAGGATGAAACAAAACTTGTAAATGAGATAGGTAACAGTAACTGTGCTAATATAAAGTTTCAGCCCACCTAGTAGAGTCTTCATCAGAGTTTTATTGATATTCCTTCTTAATATGAACTTGTTTTGAAGTTAAATCATATGTCTCTCAAATGGGTACAGCAATTTTCTAATGCCATATTACACAACTAGTTGCATCACTCGGTGGTGCAATTTTCTAAGTTTTGCCAGGTCAAAATGGCAGCATATGAATGGAAATATCACAGACAACTACACATGGACTGTTTGTTTATTTATTTTTACTGGTCAGCTATCACAAAGCATTTTCATTATCAAGGCATGGACAAGATCCTGCAAGGTATGTAGTCTTACACAAGTGAGTAATCCTGTTAAGGTGAATGGGGCTGCTCATATGAGTGAAATTATTCACATATTTAAGTCTTTTCAGACTCAAACTCCACTGCATACATAAAGCACTGAAAAGTTCATTAGAGGTTTAGAGCTATTGCACAAGTTCTTAAAAATAATTACTTCTACTAAGGTACTGCAACACCTTGTAACCCATTTCCCCTTTTTGGAAATAATGCACATATACACATGCAAATTGAAACAGGTTGTTTCAAGACCACTGTAATCTACACAGTTAAAAAGGTTTACTGTGATGCTTTGAAGTGAGAATGCCTATATACTTTCTTCTTTCTTTCTAGCAATTAGCTGGGTAGAATAGTATTACAGGAGCTATTTATGAAGGAGCAATTATATTCTTAATCCAGTGCCCTTAAATGCTGATTTTTAAAAAATGTTCTCTTTTGCTGTCAGAGTAGCAGGTATCCTGCATGACATCTGATCTGAATCTGTGAACTACAAGTAGAGCTTATAAGAATACTTAGTAAATTCTGTCAGTAGAGTCTCTGGAGGATTTTTGTGTTCTTTGGCTCACATGCATAACCTCTTGAGAAAAAGTTTTTTAAAAGTTGCATCTTTCAGTAAAGTGAAGAAAATTCTGCTCCCAAGAGCAATGTCACTAAGAGGGGTGCACTCTGGCTGGAACATTTCTCTCCTACACAGCCATGAACTAGGTCAGTCCTTATTACCTCTGTTTTCATAGAAACTAATGAAAACTTTTAGCAGCATAAACATGCCCCCAAAAAATCATTCAGTGAGAAATGAAAAAAAGAAACACTTACTTTTTGCAGCCACTGAGTGTAATTTTCCATCACATGTTCCAGATGTTGCAGTTTCTGGGAAGAGAAATCCTGTTCCACGTGAGGAGCATCTCTCTGAAGAGCATTTGTGTTGTACTGGTCTGTCGTGCTTTCACGACAGTTCCCGTCCTGTTCTGGCAGGATGAAAGTGTAGGTGCACTGCCCGTGCTGAATCCGGTTAAATCTTCTCCCACTGGCTTCTGGACCCCGACGCTGGTTATTACAGCCTATATGAGCAAGAATCGCTGCCAGGAAAGCAAAGGAAAGGAAAACTGACATGTTATTATTACTTTCTTTTCCTGCTTTAAGAAAAACTTTTTCTTCCTCTTTGTTTAAATTTGTTCTTAATTTCCCTTAAAGCCTTTGGAAAAAGGACTGGAGCAGTGCACTTTAAAAATCAGGCTTGGATAAACTGTTAGTTTTTTAATTTCACTGTGAGGATAGCTTCCTTAGTTAAAATTGGGAATATTTATTGCATAGTAGTTAAGATTTATTGTTTCCTCTCTGTTGCAGTCCAGCATGTAGCCTGCTTTAGGCAGCTGCATATGCATATCCCAGTCTCTTTCCCCTACACTATCTGCTGCAGAACTGCTATTTTCTCTCAGGCTTCAGTGAGTTTTATTAAGGTTGCACTTTCAAGCCAAGCTGGAAGCAAGCAGCCTTTCACAAGATGACTTGACAGGAATGCGTGTATGAGTGCGCCCCTATGCTAAGGATGGCTGATGGCTCAGTACAGAGGGATCATCTTACAAACCGGCTGGATGCATGACCTCAATCATGCATGTCTTTCCAGCCCCTACTGCATACAACTGCTGAGGGCTTTTGACGAATTCACGTAAGTTTAATAAGTAAGGCAGTCCACCTTAATACTCTTCATATGTTCACACTGACCTATTAAAATGTAGATAAAGTGTAGAAGTTTGTTGTAATCCCTCTGTAAATATACAAAGCATTGAAATTAAAAATACTTTCAGTTCTGCACTGCTCTGTATCTATTAAAGAATTCTAAATCAGGCAAATGACACTTAAGGGAAAAAAAGTTACATTTAACCCTCACATGCTTTAGTTACTTTTCTAAGATAATTGTGTTTCTTTAAAAGAGTTTCCAGAGAATTTTTTTACAGTATAAATTGAAATTAGGGCTGCCAAATAGTAATGGGAAAAGGCAGTTAGAAAGATAATAACTTTCTGATTATGGTGTCTAAACTAAGGTAACTAATTAAAAAACAGTGAGGGATGGCAGCTGAACTAGTCTAGATTGTCTTCTGTACTCCTGCATAGTTATCACATGCACAACACTTCTTCCAATTTGCAAGTCTGTATGGGCTAAAAGGCACCCCTCATTATATGTGGTAACTTTCTCTGGGGCAACTTCCTCAGAAAAAGATTGTCCTAATTGCTTAAGAAGCTATCTTAAATAATGCCTTTGGTATTTGCTAGAGACAAATAAAAAATGGAGAGATTATAAACAGGATTAGAATATTCACGAAATTTACAGGAATTTGGATCTGAGTTCCTGTACTAGCATTTGTTGTTGTTCCATAAATATCAGCCAACACTAATGCAGAGAACTTTGCACACTTTTTTCCCATGGAAGTAAGTAGTCTTCTAAACAGCAATAGTGCATCACTAAAAAAACAATCTGCAAGGTTTTTACCCTCAAAGAAACCTACCTGCAAAATTTCTGAGTGCAAGCACTCTCAGTACTAATACAATTGCCACCTGTATCACAACTACAATGTCATTCTAAAAGAACTGCCTGGAATATTTCACCCAGGCTTCCAACCTGCTCCAAGGGAACCTATTCCTGCTCAAAACTGGGAGTAGAGGTTTTTCATCTTGCATCTGGAAAGAAACTACTGCATTTGAACCAATAAGTAATATCCCCTACAATAAAATAGAGAAATGAGAAATTCTTATCTTGCTCTAAAATGTTTATATATTCTAGAGAGAGAGAGAAAAAAGGAAAGAATACAAAGCAAAAAGCAAAACATCAATGCTAGTGTTGCTTTGAGCAAAATAAGAATATCCTTCCAGCTCTGAACTGTTCAGTCCACCTTAGCACTCTGTTTTTACTTTTTCTGCTTCTGAAAACCAACTTCTTGCAGTTTGCTTTCTTGCTTGCATACAACACTTCCCATAACTCACCACCATCACCAGAACTAGTTCTGTGGTTTATTACACTGTCTTTGCAATTATTGTGAAAGTATTTGCAAGATATTTGCTCATCTAAGATCAGAGATGAAAAGAGAAGAAAATTGTAGGATCAGACACTGAGCTGAAGGGTTAGCACAAAAACAGCTATTCCCTCTGAGGCAAAGCACAAATACCAGAGCACAAACATGGCAACAATACATGCTTTTCTTATAAGTAAAAAGAGTACTTTATGAAAGGGCCTCAGAGAAACTTAAATGGGGGATAGCAAAGGTTGGTGTACAAAGGCTTCCTAGATTTTTAGTTCATATTTTCAAATATGAGTCCACACACAAATGCCTCATTCATTTTGTGCAGAGTATTTAAGCAACAGATTTATTCACATGCAAATAAGGAAAAGTGAGATTGCAAACTTACAATTGATGTTTTTCAGATGAGAAAAGACTTCACAGAAGAGCTGGTTCACTTTGTTGCTATTACATGGTCCCTTTCCCCAGCTTGAGGTGACTTATCCCTTCCCTTCCGTCCCCTTCTTCCTGAAGGGTATCAGCCCTTAAGACCTTCAAGAAGCATCCAGAGTTGTCAGGCATCTTTGGCATTTGCTCATTTGTCTCCAGCTTTCTTCCCTACCACAGCACCTGCCTCTCAAAGCCAGCCCCCCAACCCCAGGCCCCAAACTAATGGATCACAGGCAAAACATAATGGTCAGGTGGCACAGCAGGGAGGGAGATGTGGCACAGCCATGCAGCAGTCAGAGCATCTCCCACCAAGACACTGCACTAAACTCTTCCTTACTAAAAAGAACCAAGTCCCCTCACCCCTGTAATGTTCACATCTGTGTTGTAGGAGTAGCTCATCTGAGACATCTTGTGTGCCCAAACTCATAGGGTCTCACGCAGAGGCAAGAAATGGATGATAGAAGCCTGGTAGAAGCCCAGGAGCCAGTCTGTTACTCTGAATTTGCAGCCTTTCTAGCCCACAGGGAGGCACAGAAAGGGACTTACGAATTGTGATGGAATGCATTCCAATATTTTCAAGGCTTTGAGTGACTGCTGAAATGGCACCAGCTCTGTTGGCTACATAAAAACTCAGCAAGCTTTGGGGTTGTTCTTGACAACTCAAGAGTCAGAGCTAGTCACCAGGGTCCCTAACTAAAATCACAGACATTCCCAAACCTAACACAGGGACCAACAAGGTCAGCTTGCTGTTTCCCCAAATGCACAGCAAAGTCATTTTGATAAGCACACTGAACCAACCGGGCTAGGTTCAGTTTACACTTCTCCCTGAGACCCTTATGGTACGTTGCATATACAGACAGAAGTGCAACAACCAACACAGAAAAAATCTTATTTCCAGGTCTAAGGATTATTCCACTTAATTCCACAGTGCAATTTTATAAGAAATTACATTTTACCTAAGGGAAATGGGTTCAGAAATAATAAGAGTTTTTATTTACTTAAATTCCCTAATCCTATTAAGGTATTTGGCTTTCTTCTTTTTCAAAAACAAACCAATCAAACAAACAAACAAACTTACCCAAGAGTTTCAATGGCTTGACATCTTTTACCCAATTTGACAAATGTACAGTTTATTATCCCAGTACCACATGATCTATGCAACATGTCCCAGCTTTTCACAACCTTAAAATTTCAGTGAGGTGAGGAAAAAAACAGTTCTCACAGTTCAGTCAAAGTCACTTTTGGTATTTCTGTAGCATCTTACTTTATATACTACAGATAAAATCTAAATGATTTGCCCAGGATTGCACAGTGGCTCAACTGCAAATTGAGGCATAGATGTGTTTAAAAGGCTCTTTATTTTCCTAAGACCACTTCCTCTATCACAATGACTAGTTTTGTATTCCCTGAACTTTTTCTTCTTTGTAACAGTGTAGGGATGGATCTAGAGGTTTCCTTCCCAGACCATGAAAAGTCTCATACTCGTTCTTTATTTAGTAGCTATACAAAATACTGTAGCTCACTATGTAATCAATCCTACAAGGCAAAATAAGTGGAAATTCAACATCCAGATAAAGGTTACATTCACATGATATTGGTTCCTACATATCTCACATTAATGTATTTTAGTGGCTTTTGTTACAGAATCATATATGTGCTTAGAGTTCAAATATAAATTCTAGGAAACCAAAATCTCTTTCTGCTTCTTTACGTTTCTGCTGCAATGTGTGTTATTGTTGCAGATGAGTTGCAACAATGTTGCATCATGTCACACACTGTACCTGGAGTTATTCCAACTCAGTTTCCTCCGTTTATAAGGGAAGTCACTGAAGAATGGCTCCTGACCATAGGTAGAAGAAACAAGCTTTTCTCTATAGGTAAACCAATGCTATATTAGGATACAAAATATTTATTCTTAATCAGGCATATTCCAAAGAACTTCATTCTATATATATATATAAATTCTAGAGAATAAAATGGATCTTAAGTCCCATACCTCTGACTGGTTATGTGCTAAGGCTTCCAAGTTATTTTAGTGGAAATGGTCCCATTTAATCATGCTGCTCAGACCAGAGCAGGATGAAACATATTGACTGACCCTACAAAATCCAGATGGTATTGAGAGCAGATGAAGGGGAAGACTCACTTACCATGCAATAACACTTTCTCCTACTACCTGTATGCTTTCTTTTCTTACTCTCCTGGGAATAAGCAAATAGTCATTTCAGATAAATTACTCCTCAGGACTGAAGTTTTTATATTCACATGTGCATATTTAAGGTATGACCTACATGGTGTTGCTTGCCAGATCCTTCCTTCAAAGGGACACAGCAATGAATACTCAGTCATGCCACAGCCCAGCCCAACCCTCTCAGCATTTGATTTCACACCTGAGAACAAGTAAACAGCTGGGAGTATTAACAGAGCTTTTAGAAGCTGCTAAAGCAGCAGCTCTTAGAAGAACATGGTGGTTTATCACAGAAACATCTGAGCTCCTTGTTGTGCTGTACAATGTGTCTAAATTTTGTCTCACTCAGAGGCTTTATCGTATTTTTTCCATATATGTTGGCAGCTGAGAGAGAGGTGTTTTCTGAAAACTTATTTTTGTGCTGTGGGAAAATCAAGTTTTTTCTTATATTCATAATGAATCTTTGAGCTTATGCATGTAGAGACAAAGCACGTAGATTAATTCCATTAAATTTGCTCCCATTCTCTAGGGAAGGAGGGGATACCCCCAGCATCTTCTTGTTATCTGTCTAGGGTAATTTTTGTCCTTAACTTTCACATTTTCAGGATCCTTGATTTATTTTCAAAAACCAATCTACAACCCTATCGAACAGGAGAGATACACAGTAATGGAACACAGTGGGCATGACAATAAAAAACAGATGCCCTAATCTAAAATACCTGATGAGAAGACCAACAACAGTGATCTTGTGCTGTAAATCCTAGACG